GTTGGGAGTGCAGTTTGTATGTGTAAAGTAAAGAATAAACCTCTCCTAGGCTTGAGAGATGTGATGTGTCCCTTCTGCATTTATGACTCTGGATGTAAGTTTTGAGCAAGTATAATCTGTTGTCAGGGTAGACTCAGTGCTGCTTGCAGGAATATGAAAGATGATTGTTTTCTGCAATAATGCATTCAGTTTCAATTTTTCATCCATTTTGAAAGAAAAAAGGGGAAAACTGACATGTTTTTAATGCTTTTCAATGGGTTATAATTGTTTAGATCTTCTTTTAACATGTGTTACCACACATTAACATAATTTAATTTTTTTTATTATTAAATTTAAAACATAACCAAATTTGTTTAGGTAGCAGAAGGTGTGTGGGTATGGTTTTTGGCCTAGGAATATGATCTGGAACTACCAAATTCAGATAATTTGCTTTTGGAAATGAGAATCTGTTGCCATGGTCCATATAACTGTAAAGCTCAGAGCAAGTTTTACCGTGTGATCACAAACAAATTCTCAGCACTTTGAGACAAAAACTCCCATTTGGGGTGAGGTGTGGCACCAGGCCAGCCCACTTTCTCTGCAGCTGCAGCCAATCTTTTGTCAGATGAAGGGGATGACTCCCACTCCCACTGTCCTTTGGTGACCACAGGTACCTTGGTCACAGGTGATCCAGCCCCAGCACTGAGTGACCAATGGGCTCCAGCCCTGATCCAGTTCCCTTAACCTGTGGTTAACAGCAGCATCAAATCTCCATCAATGTACAGCTTTGGAGACATTCAGACAGAGGCATCACTGAGATTCCAAGGACTCCTTAAGAAAATTTAGCCCAAGTGCTTGATCCCTCCTTGCTTTAAACACAGATTGCATCATCACAAGTCTATTCCCTAAATAAGCCAGAGGCTTGAGCAGCTCCCTGGACTTGTGGGGGTGCTTTGGGGTTGTTTTCTGCAGACATGTGCTTAACAGCTGACATCTCTGCTATTCAGAGAGACTTATAAATTCACACTTCTCAGTCTTTTATTTTATATAGGTTAGCTCAATTAAGTTAGACATCTTGTTTATACTGATTCTTGCCTGTTGGCTGCCTATGGACAAAGAGACAAGCTGCAGAGCAGCCTGGCAGTGTTTGAAGACATTCTTTAGAAAGGAGGGAGAGAGTTTAGGCAGAAACTGGTAAATGAATGTTGCAATGGCAAGTCTGCAAAAACATTGTCCTCCTTCCCTTCTCCTCCTGCCAAATCCTTAGTTTGAATGGATTCTGCTTTATTCATCAGTACCAGTGATTCATCAAATTGAACTTCTCATACAAAAGAGGATCCATGTTTTTACTAAGTTTTCACAAAGATTTTCCTAAGTTGTAAATTGTTATTGATTTAAGTGGAATTTAAGTAAGTTCTACTTAATTTCCCCTAGCCTGCATTGTGAACTCCTTCATGGAATGAGTCCCAACCAGGATGAAAGGATTTCAGTTAGAACATCAGGCTGTGATCACAGGGGAACAAGGAAATGTCTTCATTAGAGCCACTGACCCCTTGAGATGGCTGCATCTCTGTAATTACAGCCATGTAATCAAGCATGGAAAGCAGTTCACGTGGTTTTGGCCTTTTGGAGTGGGTTTTTTCCAGAAGGTTAGTTAGCTGTTGAACTAGACTCTAATTAAAAGCATGTATAAGAATAATCAGGGGAACAACACTGAATAAAGGAAGGAAGATTTTATGAAGTGTGTCTGGGAGGAAAACCAGATGAGAACAATGAGGAAAGCAAAAATTAAGTTGTGGTTTGTCTAATAAGCCTGAATGACGTGAGAGCCTGAGCGAGAACTCCCTCGGTTACCTCAGATCTTCTTTTCACCTGTGCTCAGTTGCAAACACTAATTTTTGTGGTTTCACATGATCCAGTGGGATCATTTCTGTAAGACTGTTTTCTTTGATTGAAATTACAATGACAATAAGTAAATCAAGGCAAAGCCACGGTCTAAATAAACTGCTTTTCTAGAATTAATTTTTAGATAAATATTGCTACAATCTTCACTGGAAACTCTCAGGATTCAAGAAACACTAGTTTTAATGAATATATGTAAATTATGATGTGAAGTTACCCATAGGGTAATTTTCCAAATCAGTTAGCTACTTCAGAATTTTATTCTCTTTTTAAATAAATAACTGTTGTGCCAGTGACTGACTTATGGTTTTAAAAATACAGTTTACTATATTTTTACTGTATATAAGTGATATTACTATCACCTTTGAAGAAAGTTTAGTTGTCTGAATTTGAAAGTGTATTTTAGTTTCTAAGCAAAATGAAGTTAAAACTTTTCTGGCCATTTCTAGACTGTTCTCATAACATGATTATTGTAAGATTTGTTGTTTTTCTTCTGTTTCTCCTATCACTTGTTGACTTGTATTGTCCTTTATTTAGTTTGCAAGCAATGCTGGAGCTAGAAACATCTCTTTTGATCTATGATGTCTCCATCATACTTCTGGGCATAATTATGATCATAAAAATCTTTGAAACCTTTCTGCCTGATGTCTTGTTATCACTAAAGTTGAGATGTTCTATACTGCCGCCATAAAAAAAAATTAAATAAAGTCTATTTTTAGCCTTCAAACACTCACAGAGTAATAAAAACCACCAAACAACGCTGCCGTTTACGTCTTTGTAGCATACAAAAATATCTGTTTCATTGCAATATCTTAAATTCTCCCTTAATCTCCCAAACCCCTATGAATAAAGCATTGGATTACCAAGTAATACCCTTCATCACAAGGAATTAGGCACTTTAGCTTTAGGCTCCATCTAAACCATTGCATTAGGAGAGATGCGACTGACGTCATGTTTTCCAAGTTCCTGTTGACTCACATGGTGCCTTCCCTCACCCGTTAAGATCTTGTTGAGATAAAATCTGTCTCTCATGACCCTCTTAATTCTCTTTTTTGGGTGGCTTTGAGGCACTAGCGTGCATAGGATTTTCTAGCAACGAGTAGGAAACTTGTTTGTGTGTGTGCCAGTGAGTCTGTGACAGAGCTTTGGCAAGTTTTGTGATTGCTTTCACCTGTAAGTTTAGTAAGTCAGGATAATAATTTCCTTGCAAGAAGAGGGTTTTTAATTAGGACCTTGACGTGTCCATGTCTTGTGTCTGCAATATGCAAAAATTTAAAGGACATCCAGCTAATGATACCCTCTTTCCTTTTGTCCAGCTATTATATTTTAAAGCTTGCTGTCGTACCAGGGTTTATGTACTTCTGTGTCATGAATTGCGGGAATTCTATTAGAATTCATGGAATAAAATACATGGAACACAGTTATTGCCTCCTCACTTCAGCAGGCTGGCAGTGAGAAATGCAGGTGGCACCTGGTTAAAAACCCTCCTGATTTTGAAAGATACTCACCCTTTTTAAGGCAGAGGAAGTGTGGGAGTCACCAATGTGGCCTTGAACCATCATGCAGCCTTTAATGTTTACAGAGAATCACGTTCTTGCTAAAAGTTGTTAAAAGAAACCTCAGTCCAAACCAATTTCCTTCATGACATGTGCTGTGCAATCTTATTCCATGAAAAGATTTGTGATTGCATTAAATTTTCTTCCATTTTTACAAATACACAATAGTATGTTGGATGTGCAGTAAGAATGAATTCCTTTTACACAGTATGTCTCCACAATCTGGATAATTGCTTTTGTGAAGCTGTTTTAGTTGGGTGTTTCATGGTTTGCTGGACAGCTTTATCTTGTAGATTTATCTTGTAGATTATTGATACTGCAGTCCATAATAGAACTGGCAAGAGTTGTATAGAATTGATTCTTTTTTTTTTTTTTTTTTTTTTTACTTCAGCACATCACCAAGCAGGCATTGACTGCTCTACTGCTCTATCTAATAACTGTCCCTTGGTTTCATGTTCCCCAGGGAGTTGTAACATTCTGTCATCATATGCTCAAGGAAACACCTATTGAAGAATTAATTATGCAATTATGACATTTTGCATTTTCTTCTGGTCTGTTATTTTAAAATAGTAAAAGTCAAATTGACCTTATATTCTGCAACACTGCTACGCCTTTCACCAGGAAGGGTGTCAGCCTGAAAGTTGGAATATCAGGCTTGCTGTCTGTCCTCACTTCACAGATCCCAAATACAACGTTCTGTTTACCCTTGGTACTGCTGTAAACAAGAATCTTTCTGGTCTGCTGAGTGATTATGTAAATAGGGCTTTTATAAAGCATTTTAAGCACCCAGTAGAACAGAATAACTTCTTTAGAGATTTTTCTTTTCTAATGGTAATTATATAATTGGATAGGTTTTAGATTATTTTTTTCCTATCTGATGTGTAGATGCCAGAGTCACTTTTGAGCATTTTTACTGAAGGATCCTAAAAATCATCCAGGAAAACAAATCTGCCAGGCTCCCCCTATTATCAACATCCCAAAATGCCTTTGGCACTGAGTAAATGCCAAGCATTTGTTATTTGGCACTTGACTTGTCCCTTATTTCTTTGAACTCAAACATGTTGCATAAGATTGGTGAAGTTATGCTGAGCTAATAATTGAAACAAAACAAAAAACTCCCAAATCCTCTCTTGATCAACCTTTCCAATTTCCATCTAAATACACTACATGTATTAAGTCTTTAATTTTTGTGAGAAAAACTCAATCTGCTTTAAACTTCCCATAAGTGTTACTTAAGCTTCCAATACTTTTGTCTTTTGTTTCTGCAGGTTTCTGGTTTGCCTCTGGAGAGTTTCATTATGGCAGCTCCCAGTGAACAATGACATCCTTTGACAAATACAGATGCCAAAAAGCCAGACGAAAACCGTGGCCTTGTTTCATTTTTACTCCAACACAGTGAAATGGTGCTCTTAAAGTTTTGTTATTGACTCTCACTGGAAAAAAAAAAACCCCAACAATCTCCTGACTGGACATTTTCCCCAGCCCTCTCCTACTGTTCTTATGGATGCTTGACACAGTGACATCATGTAGTAGGCCCTGAAGTGTTGTCATAACTGAGTTGCAATGGTTTTATACACTTCTCCATTTCCCAACAGCTTTCTGTCAGTTCTGCATTCTTTTTCCTGGGGCCTGATTTTCCCATGTTACTGGCTAGCAGACAGGCTCGTGGGCTCTTTTGTTCCAACCACCTATGAAAAACGTCAAAGAGCAGATGACCCATGCTATTTTCACGCACTCTGCATCATTATTACAACTCCCATCTACCTGGCACTCTTGGTGGCCTCTCTTCCTTTTGCTCTGATTGGCTTCTTGCTCTGGTCCCCGCTGCAGTCAGCCAGAAGACCCTATATCTACTCCAGGTTGAAAGACAAGAACCATGCCAATGGAGCCACACTGCTCACTGAATGGAAGGCAGCAGGGAGTGGGAAAAGCTTCTGCTTTGGCAGTGCCAATGTCTGCCTGCTGCCCGATTCGCTGGCAAGATTTAATAACGTTTTCAATACGCAGGCCAGGGCTAAAGAGATTGGCCGGAGGATCCGAAATGGGGCAAGCAGGCCACAGATTAAAATATACATAGATTCTCCTACCAACACATCCATCAGTGCAGCCAGTTTCAGCAGCCTGGTCTCCCCCCAGGCTGGAGACAACCGCACTGTTAATGCTGGCATCAAAAGGACAACATCAATGGAGTACAAAGGAGACAATTGTGGCTCAAACAACGGCGAGGAGAACAGAGAAGATAAAGGTGGAAGTGGAGAGCCACACGAGGGAGAAGAAAACACTTGCATTGTCCGTATCAATGGAGAGGAGAATGGCCACATGTCAGACACAGAAACAGACACCGTCAATGGCCAGGCTCGTGCCAGTGGCCCCGCAGAACCCTCACTGGAAGGTGATGCAGAGGTCTCAAAAACACCAAACCACAAACAGAAGGAAGGAGATTCTGGGAGTTTAGACAGCTGCTCTGCCTCACGAGAGTCTCTAGTCAAAGTCCGTGTTGGAGATGGTACAGTGGACCAAAGCACTGTCAACAGCAAGCTCCTCTACAAAGCTTCAATCATGAAGAAGACTTCCGTGCGGAAAAAGAAACACACAGATGAGACCTTTGATCATGAGATCTCTGCTTTCTTCCCTGCCAACCTGGACTTTCTGTGCTTGCAGGAAGTGTTTGACAAAAGAGCTGCAGAGAAATTGAAAGAGCAGCTCCATCACTATTTTGAATACATCGTCTATGATGTTGGGGTCTACAGCTGCCATGGCTGCTGTAGCTTTAAGTTTGTGAACAGTGGTCTACTTTTTGCCAGCCGCTATCCTGTTATGGATGCTGCCTATCACTGTTACCCCAATGGAAGAGGAATGGACTCCTTGGCTTCCAAGGGAGCCTTGTTTCTCAAGGTAAGAGCCTTTTTGAAGCTGTAAGTATTGACTCTGTATATGTGGCAAGTTATAAAGTTACATTATTTTCACATTTCTTTAGACTGCAACAGAGGGAATATTAAGATTTAGATTCCGTGATATAACCTAATGGGTTATAGATATAATCTTTATTGGATTTGTAGCCTGAATACTGTGTTAAAATGATGGATCTGTCTGAAACAATGAGGGACTTTTGGAGGAAGAACTCAAGTATGATTTCAACTCTCAAAATTTGAAGTGATTTTCATGCTATTTTAATTTCTTTCTTTACAGAAATCTCTGTAAGAAAATGCATAAATTCTAAGCTTCATAACATGAGTACAGTACAATGAGCATCACTGTTGGAAACCAGCTTGTGCTCGTTGTGTGTTTGTTTGGCAATCAAAAGATGATCAAATGTCTAAATGTCAGTATAATAAAACTGAAAGTATTGCAGTGAAAGGTATGGCTACTCTGCTGTCTTGCTTGCAAAAGAATTAGTAAGGCGAGATATGAAGAAGAATAAACAAGACAAATGTGCCTGGGACACTGGGGAGCGCAGAGCTTTTTTGCGTTATTAACACAGTTTACATAAATTAACTAATGGTAGAGAGAACAGGAAGCCTGGGGTTGTATGTCTGTAAATCAGGAAAAGCAGAAAGTCTGCATTTGCTTTTCCAGGACCTAGTGGCTGTTCATGCTTAACTCCTGGGAGTATCTGGCTGTGCTGCTTCTAACCTGGAAAGTGGACTTCTCTAATTTGTGATTAATCAAGAACCAAAAATTTTTGCCAGAGATCCAAGTCTGTAGACCCCAACCTAGAAAGATCTGAAAATGTCCAAAATAGTGAATTGCAGATTTTGTGATTTAGTCACAGTTTGGAGTGGGTTTCTCTAACTAAATCTTGAACTTTTCTAACATTGGCAAGGTACATCAGATGCTCAAATTACATGTACTTTTTTGTCACTCAGCAAAAGAGATTAATAGTCATTAAGAATATGGATTGTGAATAAGGATCAGTGGGAGGTTTTGTATTCCATTTGTACATTGTACATGTAGTTTTCAATCAAAGCAAAAACTTTTGGTACTATGACTTGTGTAAGAAACCCCCTAAATATTAGAATTTTGGTTCTGATAATAGTTCAGTATTTCATGTACATTGACATAAACGAAAGCCAATCCCTATCTGAATACAGGTTTCCAAAACCTGGATCTAAACTCTCTATGTTGCACTCTTATGTGTTTATAAACAACAAGAATTTATTTTTTCATCACAAATTGCTACAAGTAAAAAACAAACATAGATCTTGTGCAGTATAAATATTTCTGGGGTCACAAAACTACCCTTGAACATATGCATATATTGGGGATTAAGAGATTAAAACCAATCTGTTTTTGACTGCCCATTGCTGAGTCATTGATTTGCCACCCTGCTAGGCAGGCTGCAATGTCTCCATTTCTCTTGCAGAAAATTAAGCCTCTTTTCAAGATTCCACTGGGAAGATGAACTTAATTATGGAACCAAGTTGTTAAATAATGTTACAGTTGAGCAGGGAATAGAGGCCAATTATTATAAAGTTCCAAAGATGACTTCATTCTTTTGAATATAACAGAGTTCTGCCCAGTCATAAGACTGTTTTTCCTCCTGTCTGTGTCATTCTGATATACTTTTTTTATATCTAAAATATTTTTCATTCTATCTTAACATGAATTTACTTTCTCTTTTAATTGTATATTAAATGACCAATTGTACATATTTCATTTCTTTGATGACAGCAACAACATAGAGTAGGAATAATTATTTCATTTTGTCTTTGAAATAAAGTAGGTTTAGAGGCTTTTTCTTGGTGTGGTGCTTAGTCAGCAACTGGATGGGTGTGGACTCCAGAGACAAAAAAACTACATGCAGTAAGTGAAAGCCTGGTTTGTTTTTGAAGTCAGCAGGAATTAGTGCAGTAAGTTCAGAAGCCTCCTGCTGTTCTGCTGGGCAGCAGGAAGCTGGCAGAGGGTACCAGAGCTCTGGGTGGCAGGTGTTCTGGCCAGCACTCTGCCATCCCAAGGGACAGTTTATCTCCCTGCTTCCACGTGGGACTTTTACTGGCCCTTGCAGAATTCTGAATGTCCATAATACCAGCCAGTCCTACACAGAGTTTCTCTGGTTTTAAAGAAAGTAAGAGAGCACCACAGAACAGGAGTGTCCTAACTCCATAGGGGCATGGAGTTGAGCCTCTGTCCTGTGCAAACCCTGGGTTTTTAAGTTTCTGACTCCTGTGGAATGCAGTGTTCCCAATTCTGAAGTAGAAAAGGCATCAATTGAGTTTTGTTTTGGAAAGATACTGTTCCCCTTGCACAGCTTCCATCTCTGAGTAAAGGAGCAGTTGCTCTCTGTGTTGGTTAGAAGCCAAAAGTTGTGCAAAGCAATTGAGGGGAGAAGGCTCATAAGTTTTGAAAATATGGATAAAGCCAGTTAATGTTTCCACTCATGGGGAGGATGGAGTCTTTATTCCAATTATTCTGAACTTTTAAAACACCCAGCATCTAAATTCAGAAGAACGTTCAGAGAAAGGATCTGGTTGTTTTTTAGTAAATATGATGGTCTCATTTCTACAAATAGAACTGTTAGGGAGATAAAGGTCTCAGAACTAAATATTTAAAGAAAGTTGAAATAATTTGAAAATAACAAAACTGCTTTGGGGGACTCTGACACAAACAGCTCCCTACTGCCCTGGTACAAGTGTTTTTCACATTTTTTCATTTTAGAATGGGTTCTGTTTCCCATGAATAAGAAATTATTTTCCATTGCCCTTGTCTTCCCTGCCCTGTCTTCACTACCTAGATTGTAAAGTTCAGGTAGAGATTTGGAAGGATTTGAGAGATTTGCTTAGTCATACAAAATTATTTTACCTGAGAGACTTACAGAGCTCAAGGATTATTATTAGTAGCTGTAATAACAATCAGCTCTTACCCACTGCTTTTCATTCCTATGTCTCAGAGTGCATAATGAAGAAAGGTCAATATCTGCTTAATGGAAGAAGAAACTAAAGTACAGGAAGGTAAAGTGATTTGATTGTGGCTTAACACCTAGGGTGTCACAACCAAGGAGCCAACTTGGAAGTAAATTACAGAGGCTTTTAGAAGTTTCATGCTACCTAACAGCTATCTGGAGACCTGTGCAAAGGAAGTCTCCTAAGGATGTCTGCCACAAAAGGTGCTACTGCTGGCATTTTCCTCACAGAGATCAGACTGGTTTTTCCATCTGTAGAGGCTGTTGCTTTCCAGGTCAGGATGAAGACATGAGGATGACGTAGTTGTGAGGAGCCATTTTCTGCAAAGAGGACTAATTTGCATTTGGCACTTGGAACTCTTCAAACTCTACCAGTGCTTTTGTCTACAATCTGAGGGTCTCATTGGCATGTAAGAAAAACATGATCACTGAAAAAATAGCATATATGAAGGGGGAAAATGTCACATCCTGGTGACAGTTTCATGTCTGAAGTGTTAAACCATTGTTCCTAGTTACCACTAAAGACTCGGAGGAGAAGTTAGCAAATACATAAATCAGCCAATCCATTTTCATACTTTGGGCCCTTGGGAGACTCTGCTGAGACTCTCTGTTCCAGCATGGCATTTCACATTAATTTAAAATGCTGAAGAGAAGAGCCCTGGAGTCACTTTGTAGGTTTTATAACTTCCATTGTCTCTGCTGCTGCTCAGCTGCAGACAGAGGTGGGAAGGGGGCCTGGCACAGCCCCTGTGCTGGTGACTGGCACTGAAAAGATGGCTTGGACAGGTCTGTCTGGAGCATGGTGCAGATTGCAGCGGTCTCAGCTCCTCTGCAGCCGCAGCTTTGATGATGTTAATGCACTGTAGTTGTGATGGATTTAAAGGGAGGTATAAAATATACATCCTTTTCAGACACTGGATGTAGATTTTCAAAATCAGCATTGTCAAATCAAGTTTAAAAGGTGTCAATGAGTGCTGAGCAGAAATTGTGTAATGCATCACCTGTCTGTAATTTACTAGATGGTTTAAAAATGTCAACATCCCTCTTTAGACAGAGGATCTAGTGTGGAGCCTTGGTTATGCTGTGCCAGGGATGCTGTGTGAGTTTTGGACAGTAGATGGAAAGCATCCTTAACTTGACCTGGTGAATTTGTCCATATTTTTCCAGGTGTAGCAATCTAATAAAAACTCATTTTTGCTGACAAATTTCACCTCTCTTATCCTTATATTGTAATATTTGTAACAATAATGTAAATCTAAGCTAGATTGCAGATGCACAGTCAGAATAGGGAGGTGAGTGAAAGAGGCATCATTCTCAAAATGGCTGTTGCCTGAGAGAGAAGTTTTGGAGACTTATTCCTCCCAATGGGTCTGGGAGATACAGATGGTGTGTAGAAGGCTGTGCTTCCTACTGTTCCTAGTAGGAAACTATTCTGGGGTTTGGCATCTGCCAAAAGAGTCAATTTTAGCAAAAATAAGAATTCTAAGTTAAAACAGAGTATGTGAGCATAATGCAAAACTGCAGTCTGATGTGGGAAGTTTGAACAGTTAATAGTATTCTTCAAAATCAAAAGGAAAAAGAATGTCTTGTGCATTTTGCTAGATTTCTGGAAGAAGTTGTTTTTAATTAATATTAATTCCTAAGGTTATTAACAGATTTACTTTTCAAGTTCTCTGAAAATGAAGGCTGTTCTCAGGGAGTACAGTAATTGTGCAGAGAACATGTTATTATTCATTGCTTAAAGGAAACCTAGCAACCTTTGCTCTGTGTGCAAAGCTCAACTTGTTTTCCAAAGAGCTGATATGGTGGTAACAGATGGTAGAAGGAGCAGCAGCTCTGATTGCAAAACTGTTTTGAAGCACAATTTTTACTGTTTTCTCCTCTCAAGGAGCCTGCTTTGTGTGAGAAAATGAGGGTTCCCTAAATTCACCTCTGTGATTCTCCCTTTTGATATTTCTGGTGCAGATGCAGATTTCACTTGGGTGATTTAAGCTGC